AAATTCTATTCATTATTTATCATATAATTGATATACAAATTTAAAAATTCCGAATATTTATGACGACCACTGTATATGCATGGGGCTAAATGCATCAAACATGCACCACAATAATAATAAACACACCTCAACTTCACCAAATACTATAACTATGACACCCAAATGTTGACACGGATAAGGGAAAAAATACTAGCATATATAAATGTTGAACAAATTGCAAGATAATGAAGCGTGACCCCATCACAAAGCGATTTTTTATTGCCAAGTATCACCATAGTACGGTCGTTTAAACATATTATAAGAGTCACTTTTGTTGTTGGACTTTTAACATTTAACGTTAAGCAATATACAAAAATCGTTTGGCAGTTTGGTCCTCTATGCTTTATATGTTTTATTGACAATGATATTATCTGCCTGCTACCACAAGCTGTTACTAAACCAATAATATATATACATGTATATTTAATGAAATAAATAAATGAAAGCATTATAATCAATAAATTGCTGAAATGTAGTCAGTGCAATCCTGTTTTTATTTTATCATTATCGTTATTATTTGTGTATAACCAATATTAAGCAAAAATAATATCCTTACAATATATTACCGGAAATTAAAAACAGATCTGTCACTTTAGAACCCAATATCTCAAAATTTCGTGATCACATTTAAATTAGATCTGTCTCAAATGTACGAATTTTATGGATCACTGGATTTTAAGATACATGTATTGGGTTCCAAAGTTGACATTTATTAAGTTTTGGAATTTCTGATAAGATTTGTAGGGGTGTGCAATCACATGTACATGTATTGCATTCCTACGTGATATAACAATAATGTTACCTTAACAAGGATAAACTTTGCATTTGCATGTTTGCGCGAATCTCCTATACGGATTCAAATTCTTAAACAAAGCAACTTTTTATGAATAGGAAGAATTGCAACAATGAAGTATCAATTCGAATATTAGTAAATTCTCAAGCTAATTCAACTAATTCAAGCACTTGTCTATTAATAGCCGACAATCAGCTTTTTTTTGCCAACCTCTTTTAGCTAATAACAGAATGTGATTTGAATAATTGTTACTAAGAATGACTGTTTCTAATGTGCTGCCTTTTACATGTATAGAAAATAAAGATACCATTGCTGTGTTTGAATTTTTGGCATCAGGACTTGAATTACCTAAGTGAAAAATCATTGGTGGCAAAATTTTAATGAAAAGTGCACAATCATTACAAGATAATATAATCAAAGTTGCTAAGAGTGATATGAATGGACAATCTTTAATATGGGGTGCACATGATATCAGTTCAGAAAGATCATTAATGATGGAAGCTGAAGAAAAACAAATTAATATCAAGGCATTTTTTCTGATTCAGCTGGTGAATATGCAGCAGCATGGTAATTTTATTTAATTTCTTGCTTTTATTATTTTTTTATTTTTTATTTTTTATTTACAATTTAATTTTATAGTCGACAATTACGAAGAAAGAATTCTTCAAATTTTTTTACCATGTATGACTCATCAAACAAACTTAATATTTGGTGAAATTTTTAAAGAATCAATACTATATCAAAGAATCTCTAAAGAAGCAATACGGATAGTCAGTTTTTTTCATAAATCAGTTTTTTTATGGAAAATCTCAGAGATGAACAAATGCGAATTTATAATAAGATGATTGCATTGATTACACCCGGAGATACAAGATGGAATTCATATTATTTTTGTTTTCATTCTATATTAAAGTCAAAATCTGCTCTCAAGATAATATCATTTAATTGTTTGATATCTAAAACAATCTTTAATCTATTATTTTATTCTTATTTATTAGCTTCTTTTGGCCAAGTTTAATGACCATCATACCAATATAATTCGAACAAATGGTATTCCCTCTGTTTCAACCAATAATCAATCAATATTACGTAATGGCACCCGAAAACTTCCAGATGGTATTACAGATATCATAAATGCTATCCAGTTTATTATCTAATCTACAAGAACTTTTATATCCTTTTTGTGGTTTCTTGAACAAGTTGCAAAAAGATACAGCCCGCCTACATGAAGTTCTTCACTGTTTGAATATATGATGAAAATGTTCGAATCCTATCAAGATTTTGAGATTGGATCAAAAATGGCGACACGCATTGGATTATGTTGGAATGAATGGGAACAACCATTAATGCTTCTTTCTTTTGCACTACATCCTCAATATAAACTCACCAAATTCAATAGCACGGTTGCTAATTTATATTGGACAATGGCTTATGTATTATTATGAAGCATGGTTTAATTCTAAACCTATCTCTATTTTACCTGAATTAATACAGTACAAGCGAGGGATTGATCCATATAATACTGAATCATTTATGCAATTTAATGGAAATTTTTGGGATCAACTGAAGAAGTCGGTCCAGAATTGGCACGAGTGGCAATCCGTATTCATGGCATCTGCGTTAACTTTGCATCTGTAGAATGTTTATGGTCTTGTATGGGATTATTGCATACTAACCGGTGAAATCGATTGCAGGTTTGTATATTAAACAATTGTATTTCCATTTATTTTATATTTACATTTATTATAACTAATATTACAGCAAAAAAAGTCTTGGCAATGAGCCAAATTCGGAGTGATATTCTTTGTTCTCGCAAAATAAAAAATGCAAAAGAATATGATACTCAAATCCATTGATTACATATTGCGACACCTATACTGCCAGATGATGAAACTGTAGAACATGAATCAACTACCATTGGGCTCGATTACCAAGTGAGTGACAATGACAATGAAGATAAATTTGGAGAGGGAACAAGTTCCGAAACTTATTATCAGACAAATCAAAATTCCGAAGAAAAGGAAGATTTGGTTACGGGACAAAGATGGGAAAAACTAATTCAAGAATGGAAATAGTTTGGAAATCGTGAGAATCAATATGAAAACCAAGAAGATGCAATTTTGTTGTCAAGTGATTGGGATACAGATTTTAGTTTAGGGGGATGACATCCTGCTGATGATGAAACAGCCAAATGGTCTTTAGATTCACTTTTCATTTCTTTTTTGGAAATGCCTGTATATTTTGATTCAGAGTTTACTGTAACAAGATTACGTTGAGATGAGCGAGGGGAGTATTGGTGTTGTAGGCATTAGGGTTTTATATCTAGTAATTTTTCAGTTGTTAATAAAGAAAAAGTTAGGAATCAAGTTTATGTAAAATACTTGCTTACAATTTTTTCTAATTAGTATTATTTTATACAGGTTTACCACGCTTTTTTTACCTTCATACAGAAGGTTTGTTCCAAGAATCCTCAAATAGTATTTGCAGTGTCATCCTCAAGGCGAGTTATTTTTTTGCGTAATTTCAATTGGCCAATCATTTCGGAATTTTCTATTGGATGAAAATTATGACTCAGGTCATAGGTCACACGAGGATTTTTATGACCTTATGACCTATGACAAGTCATAGAGGTCATAAAGGTCATAGGCCAACACTACCCCAGTATGTACATGACTTTAATGGCAGTTTATTTATTGGTGTAACTTAAACAACTTTAAAGTTAAAAAAAAAATAATTTATTCCTCTTTTTTATTGTAAAACTAAAAAAGCTCGACGAATGAGGTTTGGAGGTATGATGTCCGTAATTCCCAGCGTTATGATATACAAGTATGTAAAAAAATTAAGAGAATTCAATAAATTCGATCTATTCATATTTTGCACATTCCAAAAACTGAACATTTTATTAGAAAAAAGATAGAAATCTTTTAAATTTCATCTCTATTTATTTTAAATAAAAATTTCAGAATGAATTTATATTAATATTCTGAACATTGTTATTTTGAGGTCAATGCTGATTCACTTAATAAAAAAATACTTTTTCTTATTATGACTTTAAAAGCGCATTTTGTATTAATATAGAAAATTTTGAAGTTCAAGAGATTTAAATCAAATTATTAAAATAATGAACATGTATAACTTTAAAATATATAGAGCAAACACACACGGAAACAAAGGTATAAATTTATTTATACTTTTTGCACCCCGAATTTGACTGAAAAATGGAATAGCTTATTTCGTGAACAACTTAATTTCGTGATTTTGCAGTAATTTATTTCTAAACCTTCGTATCTTCACAATCCACTCATTTTTTTTAATAAAGTATCTCAAATCCGGATCACAGTCTAAGGGCATGAATCAGTACATTGACCATATTTGCATGGTATAGATGTGCATTTCAATAAATCATTTAGCTATAGCGATAGAGATAACAATTGTGGTATAACGAACCAGATGCAAATACATTGATTTGCTTACTTGAACAATTAAATAATGTTTCAAGAAAGTAACTGAACTTTTAAATCCTAGTTTAGCTTGAGAACAGGTAAATATAAAAGTCAAAAAACATATTCTTCAAAATAAATATTCAAGAACAAACACAACTATTAAAAGACATCAGATAATGGTTGGTTTTTGTTACAAGCTAGTGATTAACTATAAGAAACGCGAAGAGGTCTTTGAGCATTGGGTGATAGCTGACATATCGTATGACCAAAACTGCAATTAACTGCACAATTCAATATCGGTTAGTCATATTAGCTTGGATATAGAAGGTATGACTATATTTAAACACATAAATTATATATATTTCCATGTTTAATTTGATATTTTTATGAAGATATATATTCCTATAGTGGGAAATTTTTTCGCGTTGCACGCATCTCATTATGATTAGTTTGATCGAACGATCGTATTTAAAAATTGATACAAAAAATTAATTATAATAAATATTATAGGGCTGCACTAAAGTGCTATAGTGCTATCAGAAACTGCATAGTTATACATGCTTTTCATAATAATGGATTTCTATTAAAGCGAAAAGCTTTTATTTGTTGATGGGTAATCATGATGACTCTTGCGGCACACTATAATAATGATGTAACAAATATTTGATAGCTTCATAAATTCGACCAATTACATCATTTAGAAGCACAATTGAACTTGTCACAAGCGTTAGTAACGGAACAATATCATAAGAGATCGTGTTGTTGAAATATATAATCTGTCCGAATGAAACAATTTAAGTTATATTTGTGATAGCATCCACCCGAAATCAATAGAGATTTACCTGAATTATAAACTGGGGAATGTTTTCAACGAACATGTTAAGAAGGCTGCTCCAAAATATCCAACTGAGAGCATTTTGACTGAAGGAAGCACTAAACGCCGAAATCCCGGCAAATTCGGAATGCAGAAACGTCAGGATCTCGACATCGGCGGCAGCCAACACTGTAAACAAGGATGCGACTTTTCCATATGTCGAGAACCATTCCACGTATTTCGGGTTGGATGTAAATTCACGAACGAAAATAACAAAAGCGAAAACGGTATTGATCGCAATTGGTACAACCAAGGTAATGATGCTAATCCAGAGACGAGTTTTAGAAGCGAGCTTTGAAAAAAAGGGTAGAACAATAAAGAAACTTACGCTGGCGTATGCAAAAAATAAACATCATTTCCGTTTTGAACAACGAACAACACATCAAAAATCAGATCCAACATAATGAGAACAACTTTGAGGATGGCCAGATTGTTCCCCTGTTGTATCAAAACAAAATGTTACATGTATAAGTCAAACATGTAAAAGAACAAATGTCACCAAGACGTTGAAAACTGGCTCACCTGTGGATAACGCCGACGTGCCACATATACTATCAGTCCTAGTGGAAAAAGTCCAATAACGAGAAAAACCAAGTAAATGTGGTATTTTTCCCATAGATTTGCTAAAAAAAGTCAGCATAATTAGCTCTTGTATACAAAAACGAAATACTATTACATTTCCTCACGTGTGACCGTAATTCCATATGTTTCATCAAGCAAACTAGTGTGATCATATCTTCCAAATGGCGATGTTGCTTTATTCTTCAACATTATTCTTAATGTGTCAAGTATCTGTTTCGTATTCATATCATTCGGAGATTCCCCGGGGACGATTGAAAACCTTAATAACAGTTGATCAAGCGCATTTGAATCTGAGAGGGTGCGCGTTGTTTTTCCAATCCGAGATAAACTGATCGGAACACTTTCGGCTAGTTCAGATTGCAGTTGATTCAAGAAATTCGATCGATCTTCTGCTGAAAGTCCAAGGAAAGATGCGGTTCCAGCCGCGGTGAGCCTCACCAAAACTGTGGCAGTTTCTAAGAAATTATCAATAATGTACTTAGAATTAATATTTACATCTTTGATAATAAAATTAAAAAAACATACTTGCATATACATTTAGCGTGCTGTCTAAAAATAAAAAGTTTTATTTAAATTTTTTAGTCATAAATTCAAAGGTAAATCATCCACATACCAGATTGAGTCTTGAATTTCCAAAGACCAGTTTTTATCCCTGACAAGGCTTCGTTGTATTTGGTTGACCTGACAAAATCAGGATCTACGACCACATAATATTCGGTATCAGGTTGGTTAAAAGTGGTGGGTAAAACTGCACAAGTCACATTATTGCCATCCTTGACCGAACATAACCCTGATTGAGCTGGAACCATTTGACGAAAAATATCTCCACTAGTTTTGAAAATACTAATATTCTGAGAAGATAGAATGACTGGAAAAGTAAATGATATGGTGAGGCTGATCAAATTCAAGGGAATGATTGCATCGATAGATGGATCGGTTAGATTAATTGCGAGGTTACGATATTGATATCCAAGATCTGGAATAAGAAGTCATGTTGATAAGAACAACATAAACAGCAGCTCAATGTGAGGATTCGATTGTTACCCTGGTCGATGAACCGTGGAAGATCCTGTATGCATCCATTGAATCACTTTAGATCACAATCTTTCGAGAAAACTAACACTAATGAAATTTGACAAACCTGCGATATTAAGCTCCATTGCTTCGGCATTGTCCCCGGGCAAACCAAAATCATCCATATCTTGGAAGAGATTGTTAAATAAAAACACGAACATTAGATTTGAAAATTCATAGGTAAAAATGGAATATGTACCGAATTATTTGAATAAACGCCACTGAAAAGGGTAGTATCGAGACCACAACTAAAATAAATATCGGTCACATTCTTAAGTGTAGAGTCCGGTTGAATTATGCTAATTCTAATCCATGGTGTTGGTTTGGTGGTATTTGGTATTACTATTGGTTCGTAAAATTCCACCCCACCATACGGAAGAGGGCTTTCGACATTATGCTGCCCGTGGTAATCCCTAGAAAAATTACTACTGATTTGAGTTACAATACTAGGTCCAAGATTAGCGCCTGATGAAAGAAAAGGGAGAGTCATGATTTTATAGCTGTAAACATAGACCACTCCTAATAAACATTCGTATCCAGCCCCTAGAATTCACATGTGATATCTTGATTAGTTTATTAGGATATTTTTGGTTTGTTAAACACCATGCGATAAAGGGTCGAAAACCCGAACGTTCATAAGCCCGAAAGATCGAAATCCCGAATGAACGAAATTCTGTGATATTTTTAGTGTTTTGTGATATATGTACTATGCTTTTAGGACCTGTTCTTACTGAATTTTGATTTTTCGAGATGTCGTTCATTTGGGATTTTGATTTTTCGGATGTCGTTCATTTGAGATTTCGTTCTTTCGGGATGTCGTTGAATATTCGGGATTTTGTACCAGACCCATTCTAGGGCTATTCGATCTGCTTCAACCCAAGTAATTTTTGAGATTACCTTGAATTGTCGCATAACATGATTTTACATATAGTGAATCCAAAAGTTCATAGGTTTCATAAATCAAAAATGGTTGAGTCATTTGCGGGGTTGAATTTGGACGAACAAATACAACTGATACGTCCCACGGACGGCTAGGATCATCCGAGCCATTAGATTGAGTAGTATTTGGTGCTAGATTCCAAACGACTTGTGTAATAGCGTAGCCTCCGTCAATGAGATTAAATGTCTTAACGTCCAAGAAACTACCTTTTTGTGTAGCTAAAATTGTGTCATTGGCAACAATGGAGGTTTCCCATTGCGAGTTCCTGAAATGGTGATTTGTTAAATTTGAAATGTTGCATCCTGTTAAATGCAATATACATACGGATACTGAAAACTGGCCCAATGGATACGAGAATCGTTCCACATCAATCCAAGGAATCTTTTGTCTGGGTTGTCGTTTAGTAAAAATTGGTATGGTGATGGATCATAATTTTCGTAATTATTATGTACCGATAGACTGAACCCATGTTTGTTGAAATACGTGTATAACGAGGAAATGTTTCTATGAAAGAACGCTGAATTATTATTTTTCTTGATACTAAATTATCATGTTCTGAACCTACTTTGCAAGAATATTCCCGTTCCAATCGAGAATTGAAAATATGACGGAAGTCGAGTTAAGTATGTCTCCCAAAATGAAATAGTTTAACTTTAATGGGTGTATTTGATAGGCATGATTTGTAACAGGAACTCCAAGTAAGTCTACGGTTACACTAAACGGGGTCAAAGTTCCATTTGGAAAGATTAGTCGAAATTCAAGAACAATTTTCGTTGAGTTATTTTCCCCGGATAAGAGGACTAAAATAGTTTCATCATCATAAGTTGCGGTTTGAATAAGAGTGAGGTTGGGGTGAGTTTCATAATAAGTATTGTTTACATAAGCAAAAGGTGTGATTCGCACATTTAATAGAAAAATGAAAAGAAATAAGATGTCTCGAAATTGAATTCTAAAATTTCTCATACTGAAAATCTAAGTGGGAGCTTCAAAATTCATTAGAATTATAAATCTAAATGCATTAGAGTTTGAAAACCGTTTGTTCATTTTTTAAAAGTAACCATATTAGGTATGTTCATAGCCACTATAAACAAAGAATTGTACAACTTTGCGCAGTCGCAATATTTTACTACACTTGGAGAAGTGAATAAGATGATTATTTTTAAGAAACCGAATATCGAGCATATTGCTGAAGTAATTTTTATGCTAAAATAAGCCATACCATTAACAAAGGTTAAAAACTTCTTGATTACATTGAGCATCACAAATAAATGTATTGCATGACATCACGTGTCAAAATCCAGTTGTCAACTGATTTTACTTAACGCACACAGGACATGTCCCCCTTATTTTTTGTGTAATCTTTTCAACAACTAGCATAAATCATTTTATATATGATGAAACAGAGAGTTTTGTCTGCTCTGTCTATTTATTTTATGTTATTTTTAAAGGTAAACTATCGTAGTGCTCTAAGATAAAGAATAATGGCAGATATTTCCTACTTGAATTTCTAATATAAACACTGTAGCAGACAAAACCT